GCAATCTGCTGCAAAGTACATATGGGTTGAGTTTTTCTTCTCCTCTAACAGGTCAGATAGTCTTGAAATGSCTCCACAGCTGACAGCCATGCAAGGTTTTACGAGTCTTCTTGCCCAGTAAATGCAGGCAGATGTTGTAGGATTTGGAGCCTTACAAGGCACTGGAGTATAGCTGGTGGGAGGTAATTCTGATGAGTGCTTAACCTCTCTCTGAAAATGTAGCAGCTTGGAGAAGTCAGTATTTACTGCAGGAAGCATTAGCATGTCAGAGAGCTAAAGCACTGCAAAGAACCCCTCTGATGGCCAWGGAAAGCTCGAGGCAGATGTAATGCACACTGTGCAGGGAGGGGAACGGGGCCTTTGCTTGGTTCACTCACAGTCAGTGTTATTCCTGCAGGAAAACAGCGTGGTGGTGTCAGAATGTACTGGCCGTTTATGCAGCCTTGAAAAATACCCTGCAGTGCAGCTGACCCCTGAAGAAATTCATTTTATTAGTCCTAAATGATCAAATAATCCTTTGACAGGGCTCTCCCTGTGTGATTCATCTGCAGGTTAGAGGGAATGCTCAGGTCTGAGCCTCATCATTGTTTTTTGGGAGTTAAATCATGACACAGATATACTCAGAAATGCCCATGGTAGGCACCCTCAGTGTTGCATCTCTTGAGTGTTCCTGATCTCAGAGTTGCTGCTGGCTGCCCAGAGAGCTGTGACAAACACTGAAACTGTCCCCCAGTGCTGAATCTGCCTGTCTCCTTCTCTGACTCTTGGGTGRAATGTTGAAAGTGCAAACCATCTGTTCTTCTGAATATAGCAGCTTATTCTCTTCTGAGCAGTACAGGAGGGTGGAGAACACCYCCCTGTTGTCAGGGCCCCTCTGACCTGTGAAAGACAAGGACACAAACCTGATTTTCAAAGCTTGCTGTGATTTTGATCTGAAATGCACCACTGGCCCATCCTGTCTCCAAAATCACCACTCCCTAAGACACCTGTATTTCTGTGCATTATCATACTGTGCATTCATAACCTGAAAAAAAGTTGGTTTGTTTTTTTTTTTTTTTTAGCAGTGCCAGAGCTTAGTTCTGAATATACTGAAAATAACCATGAATATTCCCTTCTTTTCTTTACTTGCTCATAACTGGCAAGGGGGTGAAGAAATGCAGGCTGATATTGCAGTGACTGAAAGACAGATATAGAGACTGAGAGGGTGAGAAGCTGGAATGAAAGTTTTTGCAGGAACACAGGCCAGATCACGCACCATTGAAATTATCATTGACCATGGCATAGATTTTTTTGGAATGCTCGAATTAAAAAGTGAATGAAAGGRAAATAGCAAATGAAATCCATCTGTATGAAAGCAGGAATATAACATCAATCAGCTCACAAAGAGTTTTTCTGTACATGTTGCCCTTGGACACTCACATAGAGAAGGGCCACATCTACTTATCAAGGTAAAATCATGGCACTGGATATGCCTGGCATGTGGGTGCCTTCCATGCAGTGTTTCTCTGTGTTTCTGAGTGTGTTTGTGATAGAAATACTTTACAGGAACACTCACAGCACCATACATCTGAAGAGCTGCTCTACTTTAGAGTTCAGATTGTTTTATTATGAGCTAAATGTTCTTTAAGCTACCTGTGAATGAGGGCATTGTGACATTTAGCAACTGGCTTGATTGAACACAGATGTGAGCCATATTCCATATGGAGAAGATCCAGAGGGAGAGATCCTGGGCTTGTTTCTGATTTGCAGGGAGTTTGAATGCAATTACTTGGCACTGAGCTACCAAGATAGATGGAAACAAATCGCTCACTCGCGCCTCTGCAGTGCTGCAAATGTAAAACCAACCTCAGTTTGAGATGGTGTCCTGTCTTCAGAGGTCAGGGGAGAAAAGCAAATATGTGTGAAAGCAAAAATCCTGTGGAAATGGGCATTATCCACTCAGAAATGGGAGGGGCCAGGTGTTCATCTACATTGCTTACCAAGAGGCTTCCTAGGAGTGCCCCATTCCACACAGCACCACTTTCAAACTTCATTCCAGTCTCTCTGATGTTACAAGAAGTGCTGTTACCTGGGAGGTGCTATTTGAGGAGAAAAAATGGTTMTGWGGGGAATAGGGCTAAGTGATCCAGCCATCGTGCAATATCTGTTGATAATTTTCCGTTTTCTTGAGTGTAGAATTTACAGATGCAAAACTGAAATTGTACATGGCAGAATTCATTTTGTTATGGAAGTGTTTATTTCCTATCAACAACTTAGGGAGGAAAAGCAGACATTTGGGGCCGGTTCTGGTGTGTGTTCTGAACTGCTGAATTCTGCAAGGCTGCTCACAGAAATTGTGACCAGCAGCCCTCATTCTCTGTTTATGGAGAGAAAAGTTTTGTCTTTGTCTCCATTGCCTGTGGCACTTGTTTGTTTTCCTGCCTTTTGAGCTGAGGGTAATCATTGGAAATGTGGTCTCTGCAATCTGTGAAGTGGAACAGGGCCTGAGCTATAGCAGCTCCCAGGACAAATATTGCTGAACCTGAGTATTGAAGAACTTCCTTTTCTATGCAGATAATTTTTTTTTTTTTGTATTTTTTCTCCCACTTTTTCATCCTTGTTCAGCTGGGAAGAAATTCCAAGTGTTTACTAACTTTGGTTGTCTCCAGTGTCCTTATCTGTAATTGTTCTGCTGTAACACTGAGCTGCCAAGGCACACTGAGCTTAGCAGCTCTCAAGATGTGCCTGGGGAGGGGGTTCAAATCTCTGAATGCACTGCTGGAGGGCAAGAAAAAGGTTGTGTTTGATCTCAGTTTAGACAAACAGTGCTGAGATGATTCTCCTCCGTGGTCAGAACACAATGACAGGAGCCAGAAGAAGAGAAAAGTTGCCAGGTTGAACTTCAGTTTATAGGGAGCACCACTCTTAAGCACTGTCACAAATATTTAGGTGTGTAGGTAAATAATCTGTGCTTCCTTTGGAAAATCCCCTGGGCAGAGGGAGCCAGCCTGCAGTGGCCTTTAGGGGCACCTGAGCTTGGGTAGCTCAGCTGAAGTGGCAAAAATACATTCTACAAACCCAGAGTGTAAAACCCACTGCAGTGGCTCCAGTCAGAGCACTGGGGGAAGCTGTGGAGTCATTCCCCATCCTCTCATCCCTGCATTCCTGCCCTCTGCTCCCTGCTCACTTACCTGCCCTGTGTTGCATGGACACACTCACTCTTCACACCCATACAAAGTTCTGAGTGAATTTAACCCAACTGTGCCAATCTCTCATTTTTCCCACTCTCCCTGACTGTTTGGAAACCAGGAAGCTAAGGCATCGTGTGCAGGTAGCAATAAACACGTTCTCATCACAATTTACACATAAAGCGTGAGTCCCTCGAGGTAACTCATCCCCCTCTTGACAGCTTTAATAAAGGATGATGGATTGTTTCTAAATGACAGTTTAGGAAAATCAAAAATTCCCCCCTGTATTGTTTTGAGCTCTGGTGTACAAGAGCTGTTTTGTCTTCTGTGAAAGTTGTTTTTGCCTCTAAGCACTGGGGCTCTGTTACTCTCCTTCACAATGGTGAGAAATGCTGTTACCACAGGAATATCTCCCGTGACTTTTGGAAAACCTGCAGAAGCCTGAACTGGGTGGGAAGTGGGGAAATGCCAAGAGTTGAAGGTGTTGCTGTGTTCAGGATGCTGCTGTGGGCAGTCTCCCTCCCCATATGGATTGTTGGAAGCAGGAGGGGTTGGACACTGATCCAGAGCTGTTCCCAAGGCATCAATGGCAGGAGGAGGCACCACCTGAGCCCCCTGCACTGGCAGGACCTTGGGGACACCCAGCCCTCCAGSTACCTGGCATTCACCTGCTCTCTGCTTCCTCCTCCCTGCTGTTTTCTTTTTAAAGACCACATGTGGCAGYAAATTCGTTCTGGAGGGCAGAGTCCTCTCTCTTGTTTCTTTTTGGCCTGAGATTTATTTCTCAGCGCATGTGCTTTGTAGCTGCACTTGGCASAGTGGAGTTTGTTCAGCTGTCCATGCCCCAGCTAATCTGGTGTCCTAAAATAAAAACAAGCAAGTGGAACTTCGGAGAGTGGCTGCCACGTGAGGACGTGCAGAGTGTCATATGGTTAAAACAGCCCTGCTCAAAGTCATCCATGTGGTGAGAAGCCAGATGTGAAAAAAAGGCTGAAGGCCTGGTGGGGTACAGTGAGCCAGGCAGCACCAAAATTGTACCTCCTACCGTGTGGAATTAAAAATACTGAAATCAAAACCAGCAGAGARTGGGGTTAAATCAAGGCTAGAAGTTGTGAGGGGATGAGAAGCTCACAGCTCTCCTACCACTTCCCTGATGGGAGGCAAAGAAAGACAATTCCTGTAGGTCTTACCTGAGCATTTGCTTCTCTAAGCAAAATCGTTGTGGTAGTGCATCCTCCAGCTGAGGACACCTGGCTGAACATCAGCTGCTTTGTCTGGGACACAACCATGTCCATCCTTTCTCTTCCAAATATCCCAGGATGGAGAAATCTTATTGCTCCTTGCTGTCCCAGAAATCTCAGCAATATTGTTCTCACCTTGAGAATACCAACGCCTCTRCCAACAGATTTTTCCTCTAAAAATTCCTGGGAACCTGACTGATTAGGACTGATGCCAGGATATACCCATGCATGAAGCAGCACATGTGGGAGGGAGGATGTGTGTGTAATCTGAGGGGGTTTTCCTACAGGAGAAGATAAAAAATACTGTTCCATTACTTATTGTCAAAAGAAGTAACTGAATTTTAAATCTGGGTGGGATCCTTGTGTTCCAGCTGTGTTTCCCAGCCCAGAATCAGTGTTTCAGTGTGTGTAATCAATGCCTTCCAGTCAGTAAACCCCAGTAACAGCCCAAAGTCTTTGCAGCCTCAGATTTGTCCCATGTTTTTTTCTAGTGAGCTGGTACTTTACTTCCTCTTGGAAATGATTTGCATTAACACATCCTGTTACTTTGATTTTTTGATGTGTCTTATGACTGTGGTATTCTTTCCCTTAGGCACAACAGGGATTTACCAGGGAGCCAATGGCCTGACAAATTCTGCAGGATTCGGTGCCGTGCATCAGGTACAGTTCAGCTTCTCTTGCTGGCAATCTCGTCACTTCCTCTAGACACTTGAAGATCTATGAATCAGAGTTTATTTTAGTGTTCACATACATTATTTTAGTGTTCACATACATTATTTTAGTATTCACATACATTATTTTAGTATTCACATACATTATTTTAGTATTCACATATATTTAAGGAAGGTGTTGCTTTATATTTTGCTGAACACCATTCTGCCCTACTCCTCGTGCCTGTCTGCTGGACTCCAGGATACCTTGATTAATTTTAGGATGTGTCTCAGGAATGCACAGGGCACAGCCCTTGCAGGAGGAGGGTGCCCTGGCAGTCTCTGACTTTCTGCTGTGGCAGTGCCAAGAGTTCATTGTTCTTCTGCCATCTCACAACTTCCAGCTCTGTTGTCCATCCTCTCTGGAGGGGATGGCCTCTGTAATGCTGTCTGCAGTAAATCTGAGCAGTGTGAAGGAGCTGTTGGCAGGCCCTGGTGGGTACAGAGCCATCTGAGCCCTTCCCTCTTTGGGAACACACCTGTCCATGAGCTCCACGCCTCAGATACCTCGATAAATGTGTGTGTAAATAAACAGGCACACACACAAGACAGATGTTTTTCAGTAGCAAATGGCTCTCCTTGTTTGGACCAAACAAGGTCCCAGAAAATGTATTTTGGTTGGCCCATCATTTCAGTTCCTTGTTTGCAGGGTGRTTGTTGGGTTCTGTTTTTAATGACAACGGGGGGCAATTTCATTGTTGCTTCAGTTTGGGTTTAAAACACCAGCATTTGCTGATAGAAGTGCATTGGATTGAATTATGGAGGTTACATAAAAAGGGGAGGGGGAAAGTTGGGCTTTTTTCATTATTCTGTAATATTCTGTAGGAGAARACAATGAAATTATCTCATTTCTTTTCAGTCTAATTGTTCTAATGACAATTTGAGTCTTTGTTCTTGAGAGCTCCCTGGTGACTGAAAGTTAATGAAATAGCTGTGTCACAGACWAAGATGTAAGCTGTTAAGCAGGAAAGTGCTCTTAGTCTTTCTAAAGACTGTTTATGATTTAATTTTGTTTAATGCCAGAGACTAATTATCATTTCTGAGGAAATAAAAGCCTTTTGCTGAAAGACAATGCCCAGAGCATGAGCAGTTCTCTATCTGGAAAAGCAAATCAGTGGACAAGTGCAGGAGTTGCAAATAAAACAAAAAGAAACAAATTAAACCTTTTGTGCTTTGATTGTTTGGAGATACATTTTATAAGATTTACAGCATCCTGCTTGTCGCAAAAAAAACCCATAAAACAGGCAACGATTACTGGTATGGGTTTGTTTGGGAGATTTCAAATAAAGACAGAGGGTTTTGTGATACCTCAGCTCCCCAACGTCTCTGGTACCTCATATTTTAATTCATTTTTCTGTAGGTAGGGCCAATCACTCAGGCATTTCTTTATTGCTGAGATAGTTGGGCAGACTGTTGTGARCATTGCTGCAAAACAATTGCTATTTTCTTTTCATTTTTTCGCCTAACAGCTGATCAGAAAATACTGCTGATCGTGGGAAAATGCAGCCTGTTTTGCTCCTTCCCTCATCCAGTTACTCATTCCGTTCTTGCAGTTTCTTAGGTGTTTTGTTGCTTACAGAGATTATGGGTTCCATCATGTCCCTTTTCAGAAAGATGCTCTACTTCACTCTTATATAAAATTATTAAACTCTGTACAAAATGTGTCAGCACTGATAACTAAAGTCGTGTTAAAAAAAAAAAAGCAGAATTTGCCATATTTGTGACCTCCTGTTGGTTAGTCAGTCATAATAAAACAGGAGTATATTTGGGATAAGCAGAAATGTGATTTCCTAAGTGAATTAAATACAGTTCTGTAGTGAAATATCCCTGAGACACGATCTGCTGCATGCACAAGTAACACAATTTTTGTGGTGCCTTGTTTGTGTGAGAAACCCTTTTACATGTGATTCAGATGTTTCTCTTTTCCCTCCAAGGAATATTCATCGTACCCCAGCTTCCCCCAGAGCCAGTACTCGCAGTATTACAGCTCATCCTACAACTCCCCGTACGTGTCTGCCAACAGCATCAGCCCCTCTGCCATCCCCACCTCCACCTACTCCCTGCAGGAGTCCTCCCACAACATCAGCAGCCAGAGCACAGAATCCCTCTCTGGTAGGTGCATTTCTCCTTTTTCCAGGCTGGCAGCCTCAGCCATCTGGAGACAYGATTGTATTGCTTGTTTATTGTATTGTTGGATTTTTAAAATAGGGATATTTACATGATTAACTCAGATTTTCTAGCATTTAACAAGTTAACTTGTTCTCCTTACACAGGGGTTTGGGAAGAGATTAGAACATCCAAGATCTCTGAAACCATCCTGTGTTTTTTTCATGATCTCCTCTAAGGTCGTTAAAGATAAATTAATAACAAACCAACCCCGGATCAGTACTGAGAGCTAACATGGATAGCAGTGGATTCAAAACAAAGCCATGCTCTGGAAAATTCTCACTTTCCTCATGATGACCTTTTAGCCCACATCTCTGTGGAGGATTATATTCACCTCTTACAACAACATGTAATATGTGCATTCATAAGCCAGTACATCAAGAGAAAGACCCCCTTTAAAAAAATCTACACAAACTGTGTGTCTAATTTGAAAGTTCAGGATGAATTCCAAATCCAAAAAAAAAAAAAAAGCTTCAGAATTTGTGGCCTCTCTTTGAACACTTAATTTTTGAACTTTTGTAAAGCTTAAGTAGTTTATGGAATTACTGGTGAATTATGATCCCCAGTGTCCTGTTCAAGAACAATCTTCAGATATCACCTCCCTACGAGTTTTCATTGGTGTGCAATAACATTTRTATAAAACACCCCACGCTTTGTGCATGGTCACAGTACACACCCACTGAAGGTCTGCTGCTTTACCAAACAAATCTGAACATCTGTCGCTGCTCTAGAAGAAAAATAAACCAGTATTGTTTTTTAAAAAGACGTGATCACAGACTGCTCTAAAAGCAGTTGGAGGATTTTCCGTTCCTTAGATCTTATCTCAGCCTTTTTGAGAAAGGATGATTTCAGAAGGGGTTGTTAGGCACAGTCCCAGCTTCTCTGAAGAAGAGTGTGGTTATTCTAGGAAGTTGCAGAGGCCACAGCTTAGCAAGGTGTAAAGAAAAATAYGTTTGAAAAGGATTTGTAATGTAAGGTAAGTGAAACCCAGACAGGTCTAKGAAACTCCAGCCAATCAAAACAGATACTTTATACATGGGAAGTTTACTTTTAACTGTCTGGTCYCAGTTATTTTTGAAGAAAAGTTGCTGTTGAAAGTATACTTTTAATCATGAGCATTCATCAGATTAAAAAAAAAAAACAAAACCAAAACCAAACTTCTCTTTGAAAAGAAAAAAAGTTCAGAAGTGTAATTGGCTTTGGATTCTGTTTCCATTGCCTTTCTAATTTCTGTCTTTGAAAAGAATGGGGAGGAGTAAAATTCCTTAAGTTTTTTTTCTTTCCAGTGAAAGATTTGATAAGGTTTTTGGAGTGACATGTCCTTTGTAAAATTTTATATATGCAGGTTKGGTGATCTTTGAAATTGTCTTAACAACTCTTAGGAGTTCAATCTTATTTCTCGAACACTGTTAGCTATTGATGTGAAAAGAGTAAGATTTTCTCATGGTGTTTTCTGTTCCTTTCCATTAAAAGGTTTTGTGCTTTAATTACAATGACACATTGCAMAATTTAAGTTTACAATGGAATTTCCTTTCCTAATAGGGGAATATTCAACAACACCAGCAAAAGATATAGAAACAGACAGACATCACAGAGGGTCAGATGGCAAGGTACGAGCCCGCTCAAAAAGAAGCAACGATCCTTCCCCTACTGCTGACAGTGAGATTGAGGTAATAACTTTAATTTAAAWTCCTTTGGTAAGTCCAGCACAGATKAACAGTTGCCTCTATTAGCAAATCCCAGAGACAGAATAAAATTAGTAATACAACTGGAACCTGCAGGCGGGGATAGTCAAAACAGTTGCTCAATTTCTGTGTTATCAACATCTCAAACTGTTCTTCATATGTACACTTTTTTTTCCCTTTGGGCTTTTTGTAAGTCTGATTGTTTTGTTCCCTGACTTGATAGGCACCAGGGGATTTCTGTGGTTGTTAGGAGAGCAGGCTCTTGGGATGGCCAGCACACACACAGTTCCAAAATTCCTGATGTTTCATTTTGCCTGCTTTCACAGAACATCTACAGTCAGTGCTCCAAATGGCTTGAGATCTTAAAAACCTCTAGTCCAACAGGACACATTTCCTGACTGAACCTGTTCTTGCAATTGCTTAATATGTAACTATATTTCTTTTTTCCACCCCATCTGTCATCACAGCGTGTGTTTGTGTGGGATTTGGATGAGACGATAATTATTTTTCACTCCTTACTCACGGGAACCTTTGCATCCAGATATGGGAAGGTAAAATTTAATTTTTTTAGCATTACTGCTTGTCCAGCCAAATTGTGTCGGGAACTGTGGGGGCAGCTAATGAGACAGCTTTTCAAACAGATGCTGCCCATTTTATTCAGACATATTTGTGTAAATGTGTCCTGTGGTATTTCCTCTGAACATGTGAAAATTTCATTTACCTCCCTTTCATGTTGCAAGAAGCCCCTTGTTTTTCCAAAGCTTGTGTTGTTCAGCTGCTGCTTTCAGTGTGTGTCTTCTGCAAGACAGAGCATCCAGAGCCAGGGAGCATTAACCCCAGCCTGGAGGAGATAACACTCTGTCAGAGCAGTGTTTTCTTAYGAATCTCAGAAATCTCAGACAACTTTTTAAGAGATTTTGTGTTCCCCAGTCTAGGTTGCCATGAAGAACTGGCTCTGCTTCCCACATAGCTGCTGAAGCTCACATTTCTAAGGGGGTTTCAAAAGCATATCTARCTACCCATACTTTAGATACCCCCCTTTGAAATACAGGCAATTCCATTTTTTAAAACAACTCTGTGGCTGAACAGCCTGAACTTGGCTGTTACGGAGAAAACACTGGCTTTTGGATTTACTACCACATGCTTCAATTTCTTCCTAAGGCAGCTTTTCATGATAAACACCCAAGTCACTTTGAATTACAGAATGTCAAACATTTTTAAATGGGTAAGAAAAAAGACAATATCATTACCTAATTAAAGGTGGATGACCTAGTTGGCAGCTGTTTGCACACATGGCTTTGAGCACTCAGCTTCACCAGGAGACTGGAAAATAACCCAGCTTCTCTGTAGAAAGCAGAAAATATGATTTGACATCATTTCATGGCTTTACCAGCTGTACTTTTTTACGATGGTTATAACAAGCTGAATGTGTAATTAGTGAGATAGATTTATTGTTCACCGTTAGATGTGCGCAGTTGTAAAGGGTATAAAATGGTGTTTGTGGTGTGGAAGTCTACTGCAGCCCTTGGAATGCTGCTGACACTTGTACCAGCACCCTCTGAAAACCCAGCACGTGTTTCCAGGCAGGGATTTATTCAGGCCCATGTTGTACCAGGTAATTGAAGTGGTTACTTTTCCCAGGGAACATAACAAACGAGGTGTACGTGTGTGAGCTCAAACCTACTGCCTCCAAACACCAGAGAGAATTAGGCAGGATCAGGAAACAAACTTGGGCTGTGCAGATCTGCTCTGTGGTCAGGCTTGGCCTGGGGTACGGGCTGCTGAATTCATGTGGAGGATTCCCTCAATGGGCTGACTTTGTCCCAGCACAGAACCTCTGAGCAGATGCCTTCACCTGCTGAGAATCTCCACTGTGAGGGCTTCTGTTGGCTGTTCTCCTTTGTACTTATTTAAAGAATGATGTAAACAGGAATATTTCTTTAAAAGGGTGAATCACCTTTTCTGTTAAATTATTGTTGAGAAACTTTTGTAGGACGTTTTTCTTTGCAGTTCATTTGATTCATCAGTATTGAATTCCTCAGGGCTGTTCTGTAAGGGGAGTGGTTGTGTTGTAAAAGTATTACAGGCTAGTGGCTTGATCCAAAGACAACCAGAGGCTTTGGTGGGCTTTGGAATAGACCTTAAACCAAGAGGGAAATACAGCAGGGTGTCCTGGAAACTGTTAAAATTCTCAATTCAAAACTTACCAAGTACAAGTGAAGCAGCCAGAGGTTAATARTTTCAGAATCTCTTACTTCAGTAGCACAGGAAGTGTTAATCTCGAAGTAAATTAAGTATCAAAACTGAAATTCTCCATAAACAATTCACATGCCTGTAATTAGACATGCTTATAGTTAAAGCTCAGTGATGGAGATCTTGGCTCACTGTGTCTTCCTCCAGAAAAGGTGTCAGTTTATGTGATCCTGACCATCCCCAGGCCAGGATTTGTGTCCCAGTATCATCCTGTGTCTTGCACTGGGGAGCTGCAGGTGCTCACAGAATTAGTCTGTGCAGTTTATTGAGCTGAAGAATAACACCTCTTTCTGGGCTGATTTTTCTGGAAAGATGAGAGGAGGAACAGCATCCACAGTTTCAGAGATTTGGGTCTAAACTCCTGTGTTCTGTAGCTACCAAATCTCAAATGGTTGTGTGTGTTGCCCCTTCTTTGGTGATGGCAGCTGTAGGGAGCTGTCCAAAAAATGAGTGGAAAAATGAAAAAAAGGGGGAAAAGTAACTCACAAAAGTTCTTGTTATTAATGGTTGATAACCTCAATGCATCTTTAACGACTGACTTCATGTGGAATTCCTGTTTTCTCTGTGTTTCTTGTCATACATATGGGCTCCTCAGGGCACTGGGAGATAATTCGAAAATAATTTGCCCACAGCATCAATAGCAGTTAAAACACAAAATTTTCTGAAGGTTGAAGCATGAATGAATAGCCTAGCCCCTTCTCTTCCCAAACTCTTTGCTGTAGCCCATGGATTGCAGTCATCAGCCATAGGGTGACAATAAAAGGCACTCCAAAAGCTGCATCCCAACCTGTGTGTGATGCTGTGTCTGTCCTGGGAGCTGGGGCTGTGGGGTTGCTGTACCTGGAGCAGCCAGTCTGCATCCACTGAGGGTTTCCAGTCAGCCTCAGAGCTGCTTGTGTGCAGTACAGGCTGATTTTGTGTGACAGACAGGTTTTTTTAATGCTTTTGTGTTTCAGCAGTGGCACCATGAGGTTGGCTCAGGCTGTGAGCAGTCAGGTGGGTGGGGTGGGACATGCACTCAGATTTCCAGCCTGTGCAGACATGGGCTCTGCCTCTCTGATGAGAGACTTGCASTGACCCAGGAGAGGTTCCACCAATSATAACAGGAGCTCAGGACCTTTTGGACAGAGGGGCAAAAGTTTCTGCTCAGTCCAATTGAGGACAGGACATAAACACGATTTTCAAGCATTGAAACAAATGTCATAGCTGCTGTGTGCTGGCTGTGAACTGGAYTGTCTTGTTCTCACCAGAAATGATGTTGTGGATCTAAGAAACCTTAATTCCTCAGAAGTTTCACTGGCTGTTATATGTTCTTATAAARAGTTTTCCTGTAAATGAATTATAATTTCCAATTTAAAAAAAAAAATCATTGAAAAGTTCCTTCTTGGCTCTACTTGAGATCCTTGTAAACCCCTGGGTTTGATTTTTTTTAAATTTTATTTTTTCTTCCCTGCTTTCACTGAATGCTTCAAGTAGCTTGTGCTTTTCCCTGCTTTGTTCTCTCACAGGACCCCAAAGCCAGGGCCTGATTGAAACACCATGGGGATTTAATCAAATCTGCTGGTGATTCATGCTCCTAATGGCCGACTCTGTCCTTTACTGCTTTACAAACTGAGAAGGAATAAAACCCCATTTTATTGCTCGGCTGTTAAAAACTATTTGTAGAAGTTGCTAAGGTTCAAATCAAAAGCGGCCTCCCCTGAGAACTATTAGTTAATTCTAAGTGCCAGGGCATCGCTTTTTTTCTTCTCCTCTCGCTTGAGATGTGGCCTTATATCACGACTGCTGTTCAAACATCTGAGAGTTTTCCATTCCTTTGACAAACATGAGCCAAAGTGCTTAAGGACATCTGTTTATTTTATTTCTTTAATGAGAAAACCTTCCAATTTCTTACTGGCTCAGCTGTGTTTATTTACATTTTGTTAGTCATATGTGTGGGGCACCTTGGGAYGTTAAAAACCTGCAGAGGCCGATGCTGAGGGCTGCTAGCAGGATCCCGGTCAGAAAGGCAGAATAAGCCCTTCCTAAGGAAAACACAGTCCTTGGAACTCCATAAAATAGATTTTCAAAACAAATAGAGCCTAATTCACTCAGTAGATCATGGATTAAGTCAAGATGAATACAATTTGGAAAGGATTTTCTGAGGAAGTTGGAGATTTTTTTACCCACTGGAGGCTAAACCTTGTGTTTAATGCCTTTTTAAGTTAAATTAAAAAAGCATTCAATCACTGCAGGTAATAAAGCCGTCTGTTACTTTAGACATGCTGCTATATCAATTATTGAGTTCATTATTGGAGGGGAGGGAGTAAATAATTCCAGCCATTTTGATTWTTTCAGATGTGTATTTCGGGAGCAAACATCTGTGTTTATCATCCGTGCCTGCTGATGAGGAGCAGCAGCAGCAAACCCCAATCAGTGGGTGGGATGAGGGCATGGGAGATGCTCTGAGCTCCTGGGGATGTAACCCCTTGTCCCAGAGCTTAGCAGAGCAGGGAGTGTACATTTGGACCTGTTAAGGGATTATTTTGGACATTAAATAGATGTCAGAAACAATGGTGGGTTATTAAACGAGCGCTGCTCGCCAAWACCTGGATCAGGACTGGAGTTTTAAAGGGAAAAGTTAAAAGAACCAAAGGGACATGGCTTGTTTTAGAAAGCTGCATGTGCARAATATGTCACTGTGCTGGGGATTATGCTCTGTGATGTGTTTCCACCAAGCTTTCCAGAAGTTTCRTGTTTTTCACAGGGCTATCACAGGCTTTCGTAGAGAAATACAGTGACTTTCCTGTGTTGAGGGGAAGGAAATGAAGATTAATTTGGTTTAAATTCCCCTCCCTTTTCTGAAATGCGTGCCATRTATAGTAAAAAGAAATTATTTGTAGGTTTTTGGTCATGAATCTTTCGTRTTACTAAATAAAAATAATTCCCATTTATCCTAGAGCATTGTGGCCCAGCTTTAACCTGCATTTAAGTACAGTATTYCCACAGGACTGGAATCCACTTCAGGCTTTATGGGTTCAGGATAAATTAGTGTGGGCATTGCTGCCTATCTCTGAGCATAGTTCCTAATRAACCTGGATGTGTCAATTTTTACACAAACCATGTCTTTATTTTGGTGGRARARAARKTTGGACTCTGAAAAACTGAGAGATTCTGTTTGAACAGGGATGATYTTTTWCAAAAAAWTCTGAAGTGTGGTCCSTTCAGTCAGTYGCTTTTAAAATGGGTTTTAGCTCCTGAAATCCTTTTGTTACTTTAAACAATTTTTCTCACAAATGCCCAGTCTCTCTGGGAAAGCTCTGAGAGGCTCAGTSTGGCTGTAGCCTGTGTTATTAAAAAGATAAAATTGCAAGCTAAGCTACTTAGGTGYAGTTAGGAAAAGAGTGAAATGTGGTTTTTCTTGAAAAAGACATGGATTTACTTGAACTAGAACTCATACACATAGCTAATTTCCCATTATTATGGGAAAGTCTTGTTCATGTCTCAAGTTTTGATCAAGGTATAAAATGTTACGACGAAAGGATGATTATTCTCACAGACTCTTTTTGTTCAAACATGTGGCCTTGGTATTTGTATCTTTGATTTTTTTGATTATTATTTTTTTTAATGCTACAACCAAGCTGGTCCATTTTCCAGGCGTTTCCAAGTAATTAAACCCAATTTAAACTATTAAATTCTTTCTTTTGGTGACAACTTTGTTATTAACAGATAACCACAAGGAGGAGATTTAACTTGGAAGGCCCTTGATTGTATCCTAATCCGTCTCTCACCTCTGGCTGACACCTGTGGCAGATAAACCCTATAGAATAGGAGTCTGATGAATACTCTTAATTAATACTTTCTTCCTTGTAGAAAAGTAATTATTTGCTCACGGCATAAATAGGTATTTGGCAGGGATTTRAAAGGACTGATTAGTTTTAAATACCAGGGCTTTATTTTGGTGGGTTTTTTAAGGGAGGTGATGGTGTCTGAATCCAAGATCCACGCTCAGAATGACTTTGCCCTGACAATTTGAATGTCGAGTTAATTGTCACGTTGCTAAAAGAGAAGCAGAGTCAGACAAGAGGCAGATTTGTTATCTGTCTCAGAGGAGCCAGCTTTGCCCCTTTGCTAATGGCCTGCAAGTCTGAACAGGGCAAGGCAGAGCTTGGAGAGGGCTTTGGATCCARGGTTGGAGGCAGGACTGACTTGCACTTGAGAGATTGCCAGAGATAAATCTGCTTCCCTCTTCCTTTCAGAATTACAGTGTGCGAGGAGGGAGGGCTGGCTGTGGACATGCAGCTGGGATTAGCTGAGGTGTTAACAAATACATGTCTTTTTAATGCGTTTTCTAGGCAGGGCAAGTGTGAGCAGYGTATGAAAAATCAATCTCCGTGGTGCAGGAGATCGGTGGGGACGTGGTTTTAGTGCAGAGCCTTTTGGGAGGATGCTGGAGGTGAATTTGAGCGTGACTCAATTCTGCTGTGGAGGTAGAGCCAGGACCTTCAGCAGTGCAGGTTTCTGTGCAGCTCCTGGAAAAGGGAAGAAGCTCTTCAGGATGGGCACAGGAGGATCAGGAACGCCTGCTCTGCCATGGCTGAGCACCAGGGATTCACACCAAAAGTAATTTGTGGGGCTGTTTAATTTTGACCCCRAAGGAAACTCCACCATTGGAGCATGGCAGAGGTGGGGATACACTGTGCTGCTGGAAGTTTTATTTACAAAAGGAGTTTATTGCCTGTTTTCCACCCCTGCCTCTCATTGTCGTTGTTTGTGAAAGCATGACTCGTAGATTAGCAGAGGGAGGACCTGGCTCTTCTAAAGTTACTGAACAAGCACTGAGGGCTGAGTTTTTAGATTAATCTGTTTTCACTGTAAAAAGTGGTTCCTGGAGGAGATTTGATTTCAAGCTGTCTGTGGTCCTTGGGCTTTCATGCACCAGGAAGCATTGGCTGATTTGGCTCATTCCCAGGGCTGCTGGGTGAGCTTTTCCTCCATCAGGACAGGTCAGCAGGGATCACTGGTAACCCTGCATGGCTCTGCTGAGCTCACACTGCTCCAGCAGARGCTCTGAGAGTCCACAGCACCACGGGCAGCACAGAAATGGCCTTCAGTGGCACAGGATTTCTGTGCCTAGGAAGAGCACTCCATCAATATCTTTCAGATTATTTACACGCAGTGCAGAGAATTTGGATACACCTCTGTCATTCTGATGCTTTCCTGTCAGCCTCATTTTCCTGTTTGTTCATATTTGAACTGACAGCTGTAGCCACTGTTTTTCCTCGGGGTGGGTACAGCCTGTGAGGTTCAGGTCTGGCATTGGTGCTTCTGGATGCTACAGGAATGCCAATAAATAAATAACTGCTGGAGGAACCCTGGCCTCSAGCCTCTAGACACCTCTGTCATACTGGGAGTGCTGCTTGGCCTGACAACTTTATCAGCCTCTTTAAAACTTGGAAGTGTGCCTYGCTGAGGAGGAAATGTCCGTACTGTGGAAGCAGTGATGCCAAATCATTTCCCCAAACAACTTCCCCTCTGGGTGGTAAAGTGCATTTTTCTGTTTTGTTTTCATTCCATCATATTCTGTATCTCAAGAGAAAGATTTTTTTTCCCCCTCTCTCGTCTACAGTTTGGTTTCCATATTGTTTAGTTTAGGAGAAGGTAACTTCATACACTGTGGAAATGTTTCCTACTCCCCATTAGTGATTAATACCAATAAAGCTAAAACAAAACTTGGAGGATAAATGACAGATACCAACCAATGAGATTTCCTGAAAGAGTTTTAAAGGCTAATGAGCCTTGAAATGTATAAAAATAAATTGCTTCATTAAAAACTATTTTACAAAATAATTTCTTCCTAGCGGCATATTTTCTTCAAAACAGTTCCCCCGTGTAACTACACCTGGGTAGTAAAATTTGATTCAGTGCTGTTCCTCTGGGGCCAYAGTCAAATATCCTGATTAGGCCTGTGTCCCTGTGCCTCTTCAGGGGAGCAGGTTCAGGGTTTAAAATCAGAGACATATTCAAGGTGAGCCTGAAGTTTTTTTCCTTTTTGCCCAGAGACAGTGCCCTTGTTTCTGGGAGAGCAACAATCATGTTTAAACATGACAGARCTTCTCTTTAATGGGCACAGTGCTTGTGAGTCACACACATGGCTGAAACCACAGCCATTCTGCTCTAATTAAAGAGAGCTTCACTAAGAATGTGTAATAATTAGCTTGGTGTGTAGAACACCATCCATGTCAACAGCATCTGCCTCAAAGGTTGATTGAAATGTGCTCATCCTCCCAACATTGTGCTCCCTGTTAGAGCTCCTCAGTCAATCCATYACTGTCCTGTCATACAAGAACAGGGCTCCACAGAAATCTGCAGAAAATTAGAGTAGGGGCTGTGTTTAAGTGTGTCACACATCACGATAAAGCAAGGCAGATTTATACATCAAGGGGAGAGATCCCTGACTTATTGAAGATGAATTAACAAAAAAAAAAAGTAATTCTGTTGTGGGAATGTGAGTTTTTTCCAAGTTGTCTGTTGTTGCTTAGTTTGAACAGGCACAATGCTTTTGAGCTATGACKGTTTATCAAATTAAAAGGTTATTTTACTTGTATTTTTAAGTATTTAATGAATAAGAAAATGTGCTGCTGGTGACTTTGTTTGCATCAGTGCATTTCTGTGCTCTTGCTGTGGGTTTAGGAACAAGGTTGGTTGTTTTGGGGCAGGAGGGGTTGTTGTCCTGCTGGCTTGGTGAGACAATGAAGTGACAGCCCTTTCATGGGCTCAGTGGTGTCTCAGCTGGGAAAAATATTAATTTTTTAGAATGAATTAACCAAACACCCTTAAGTAGAGCTGCAGGTGGCCTCATCCTTTTCCAGGGGAACTGACTAAATGCTTTGTCACTGATGTTGGTGGGAGCAGCATCTTGGTGTGAGAAAGTTCAGAGCTGCCAGCACGTTCATSTTGACATTCAATTGTTAAAAAAGCATGATTTAAAAATGCTGCAGGCAGCCAGAATTTCTGCATCTTGTCCTTCCCTTTCAGGAAGCTGTTGGGGTTTGCATGGTGGAATGGGGCTGTTTTAGCTCTGCTGAAATTGTTAAATTAGGAGGCAGCTTCAGTGGGATGGAATGGCTGGTTTGAAGGACAAGGCAGGATAACTACCCCAAACTGTTCACTAAAGATACTACTGGAAATCAATTTTCTGTCTAACCTACTGAAGCAATTCTTACATAGTTTCAGGTGTTTAAAGGATCTTTTTATCATCTGAAGTGTGTGGGCTGTTTGTGGTGAATCAGACATCCTTCAAAGAACAGAATTTGTTTATCGAGGAGAACAAAAGGATGGGAAAATCATGTTAATGTTGAAAAACATGGGAAATAAAATTACTTTAATAAATATATCTTGAGAAATAGGAATGTGTAGATCCTGTGTTTGGCCTAAGATTTCCCACCTTCCTTCCACCTCCCCCAAAAAAAAAAAGAAATTAATGGAAGAAAACCTGATTTTCCCCCAACAGGACACCACAACGTCTGTGCGGATAGGTCTCATGATGGAAGAAATGATCTTCAACCTTGCAGATACACATCTGTTCTTTAATGACCTGGAGGTATGTAACTGCTTCTTTTATTTAACATCTCCCTCTCTCTCATCATTTGCGTGTGGTCTACAAACTTGGGGGTTTTGGCCAAGAAACTTTTGATTTTTGACCCCAAAGAAATGGACCTTAGGTGGCTTATTGGAAGCATCCTCACTGTCCTTTGACACCTCTGTTCTGTTTGGGAATTTTTTTCTAAAAACATAGTAAACAATGGCTTTTTGCAGGTTTATTAAATGTAATAATGAGAACATGGTTGCTGTTTCTCCTGAAATGTTGTGTTTAATAATTTTATTAAGCTAAATTAGCATAGCTCCTATGGGGGCAGGCAGGAATTAGCTGTGAGCCAATGCAGAGGTTTTGAAAAGGTTCCTCTGTTCTTGAGGAGCTTCTGTTACACACAGACAGAGCAGGAGGTCTGCTCAAGCTCAGGAATACTGCASGATGAAACTCTGGAATTTCAACAGAGGGAAGAACCCTTCCTGTTTGTGGCATGGTTAGACCTGACTRTTTCTTATGCAAAACAAAAATCCTTTTGGATATGGGGTAAAATTCAAGCAAAGTGATGCTGCTAGCAGATTTCTCTCAGCTGCTGGGAACCAGCTGCACAGCAATAATGAAAGTTTGTTGGCATTTGCAGTCAGGACACAGAGTCTGAATGGATCATGGACAGAGTAAGGGAGGGTTGTGCTGTGGGCACCTTGGAATCACAACTCTGCTTTGAGGCATTTGGAGCAAAAAAACCTGGCATCCCTGGGCAGGCTTCTATGGTCTTTTTTTTTTTATTATTATTTTTTCTTCACTTGAAAAAGGAAGAATTTGTTTCTGTGTCAAATGAAAGGAGAGAACTTTTTCTGTGCCTGAGGAGTTCAGCGGGAATTTCTGGTTCCTTCACTGTTTAATTGCAGTGTGGTCCCCTGTGTTAGGGGAGGTACAACCTTTCCTGCCACCTGGCTCCTGGCAGTCCTGAGSTTTCACTTGCTGAGAGTTTTTATTTCCTTTCAAAGACAACCACCTGAACTGACAGATTTTTCTTCTTTTAACTTTTTCACAGAGGGAGTTTATGATGAGGGCACAGAAAGTACAAAGTAAAATATCTTTCTCTTAGGGAAAAGAAAAAAAAAAAGCTCCTTTTTAGGAGCCCAGGGCASTATTTAAGTAGTGGTAATTCACCTTTCACCTATCAGATCTCAGTATGTGATACAACAAAGCTCCATGTCCTGCACAAAGCCACCCTYCAAAGCCCCTCTGCGTTTCTAGAGTTTTGCAAGAACGACCACTTTTAAAATAACTTTCCTCCTTTTYTCACTTACTGCTCTAAAACTTTAAATGAAGCAGCAAATTGTCTGGCCTTGTTCAAATTATGCACATTTATCAGTCAGTAACAGCTTTGGCACTGGTGGTTTGGTTTTAGCTGAGCCTTTTCAATGAAAAATTGAGGGATGATGGAGAATTCAAGRAAAGTAAATGTTCCTTAACAGAATTTTACTTTCCAAAAAAGCCATGTCAGTTTGGAAGAATTTGCAGCAACAGAGTCATCCAGAGTTACCCACCCAACTCCTTCATTTAGGATGATAAATAAAAGTCAGCTTTGTGTATTCACAGAGTGATATTTAAGGATCATACATCACTGAGCACTAGGCTTAAAAAATGTAGGGAATTACATTCTTAAAAATGGAAAAAGGAACTGGTGAAAAAGAGCACAGAAACAGATTCAGCTGAGACCCACAAGCATTACCATATACATTAGCACCATCATGTGGTGCAGCACTGGCCTGTGCAGGACAAAATGAGCTAAAACTGTGCAGAAATAATCTCTGCCCATCTTCTGTGCTGGGGCACAGTGTGAGGAGGAGCTGTGGTTCAGACAGCAGTGGGGTCATTGCCCAATTCTAACCAAAGCAAGAGCTCTCTTAGCAGATGATGTTAAACWCAGCAAAACGTTTCTCTGACACAATCCATGGCCAAGTTCAGATATTTTGGGGGATCCAGCAGCCTGAATTAACCAGAGCATGGAACAAGGGGAAAAAACTGGAGGAAATGATGCACATCCTCTCCAGAGAGGCAGGTTGGATGAGGAAATCAATTCTTTTGCTTTAGCACGGGGGAATGGTTTATCCTGCTGTCTGTAGTTTTCAGTGCTGTGCAGAGCCCTTTAAAGGATTCCCAAGAGGGGTCTGATGAGGACAAAGCACTTGTCCACAGATASAGCAAGGYTTGCACAGCCCTTGGTGCATTTGTRTGACCCTCCTTAGTCTGGTGAGGATGTGATGTCCCATCATAGCAAAAAAAATGGTTTCAGAGTCTGAGGGAGGAGCCTGARCTGGAATGCTCCCTTTTTCCTGTTAAAAAAAAATATTCTGAAACTCTGGTTAGCCAGGGCTTTATCTTTTCTTAGGATCTGCCCAGAAGGGWTTCAGGTAACTGTTTCCTGGATGCATTAGCTGAATGCATTTTGGCTTTGCTTGGGAATGGGAATGGATGTGTGCAAAGCTGAACCAGCAGATGGATTCAGATGGATCTGTTCAGAKCCATCCTGCTTCAGCCCATCCTCTCCTGGTGCTGAGGCCAAGTTCCAGCTGATTCACCCCAAACCTTGTATGGGAGGAGGCTGATTGCTGGTCCCCAGGGCAGGTCTTCCAGACTGGGCAAGTCTTAGGCTCCTACTAAAAAATTTCAGTCTTTTTACAGAAAGGGATTCTCTGTCAGCAAGTCAAGTGTCCCAGGCAGATGAAATCCCTGCAGCCTGCAAATGTGAGCCATGCAAGGTGTGCACAAAAGGCTCTGGTCATGTTGCACAATGTTATCAGCAAATATTCACYTGACAGGAGTTATTCTCCCTCTCTGCTCCCCTTTTGTGAAATTGGAGAGAAAAGAACTTACCCAAGATTACAAATCGCAGTGAAGTTAAAATACAMACTCTGGGCTTTCCAGGTTGTACTTTTTTTTTTCCCCAGATGCCTTTTTGTTCACAGTACAATGCTGGCTAAAGATTAGCACCTTGCACCCCCATTTCCTCTGGAGATATTACTGTCTAAAACCCTGGAAAACAGGTATTTTAAAGACAGGAGAACTRACAACGGGGTGAGGAATTAACTAAYRAGGAGATTAGTGTGTTTACAAGTTGCTCCCTTTCAGAGCCATCCCTGGAGGTTTTGTTTTYTGGGAGCTGTTATTAACCCCCACCTAATGAAGGATGCAAGATCAGTGAATCCATGAGATGTTTGAAAATCTCTGTCACAGTCCTGATCCACAGATAGAATTTGTGTGCATTTGTGTGTATGTTGTTCTCATACTTGCACAAGACATTYCTTGAGAATATTTAGAGGGAATGTGTAGGGTAACAGGAGTTGCTCTGTGTGTGCTCAGGAGCCCTGTATTTCACAAGGAGGCAGCAGAGGCTTTCTCCAAGCCAGCAGAGCCATTTCAAACAGCTCAGGCTCCTTTACATGTGGGTCAAGGATTTGCTTCCACCGGGAGAGAGGTTGTGTAGCACCCAGAGACACCCCAAGAGTGACCCCAGATCAGTGCCCAGAGCTGCAGAGCTGCACATCACACTCAGAGATCCTGGAATATCARCTTAAAACATCAGCAGCTGTGAAATCCGGTCCATGTCCCCATCACAGCCTTCCACTGGAACCATCYCCTCCCTTTCAGCAGCCCAGACACCCAGCTTTGATTCCCACTSGCTGAGGTTTCAAGGAAATGCTGCAAGGATGAGAAATGAGTCTGTAAGGGAGCGGTGAGCTCGGAGCGGTGGTGGCTGCGGTCCCCGAGTTCCCCGTAACTCGAGAGCTCAGCCGGGCTATGAGGTAGCGTCTCAGCCAGTGTCAGGGTGTTTTATTGAGTCAGAAATGTGATAGCTGCTGTTGTCACACCCCAGTGTACAGAACAATCCATTCACAAATGAGGAAAGCAGATCTCTCCACAAATGCCTTTCCCCTGACTGAACGCCCCGCGTCGCACAGCCCAGGGGGAGTGGGCTGCATCGGTGTTACCCCAGCGTGGTTCACTACAGAATTTGGGAGATTTCTTAAAAACATGATTGGGTTGGAGGAGAGAGAGAGAGGTGCAGCAGAGATCTGCTCTTCAGCTGCTTGGCTCCAAGTGCGTACACCAATATACACTCCAGCAATGGGTTAGTAAGAGGGCTGATGAGATGGGARCAAAATGCAATTGTGTGTCTTTTTGAGAATTATCTAAAACACTGCAGAAAATCTCATTATTATGGACAAGAACTATCTGTCATGTTTTGCCTTTGATAGCAAGTTTGGTTACTTGTTTGGGGATATTTCATTTTTTGGAAGGGTCTTGTTTAAAGTAATTAATCAAACTCATAATTGCGTAAGGAAGGTAAAACAAATTCTGTGGTTTACAGAACACTGAAGTGGTGAAGAATTGCTGCAGAATTGCTGCACCTTTTTTAGCTGTAATTGTTCTGACTTCAGAGCCCTGTGGTACCAAGTGTCACAGCTCTCACTTCTGTTGAAAAATCAACCAAAACAAAAGATAGTGTYCATCAGCTTGCAGGCTTTCTGTTCTGTTCTCACCTGCAAGGCTCATGGAGAAAGGAGAGTTAAGGTGGTGGGGGAAAGCTTCCCAGTTTTCCTCTTTCTAATCTTAATGCTGAGGCTGGGAAGGAAACCAAAGGAATAACATTTCTGACATTTTTGAGGCAGGGCCTCCACCATTTGAACACTGAAGAATTTTGGAAGATAAGATCTAGARCACATACTTGATGCGGGCTGAGCTCCAAGTAGATATTCTGGTTAAATTTCCTGTGCACAGATTTCCTCATTACATTCTCCCTCAGCTCTGTCTGTGGCTGGGGCAGTGAAAGAGTGTTTCCTTCAGTGCTTCAGCCCAGCTTCCCTGCACATCAAAGGAAGCTCAGCCCCCTCAGAACAGACTGAGAAAACACCAGCAGGACAGGCGTCTCTGGAAATCTCTCTGGGACAGATCCTCTCCCCTGTAATTATGTGGGTATACACCTCCTGTCCAAAGCAGTATTCTCRCAGGGGGAAAGGCTGCCAATTCTCTGCCTTATGGTGCATACAGAGTAGAGAAAACACAGCTTTCCTGGCTGAAACACAAGCATCTCTCTCCCTGCTGTTGGCTTAGGAAGGAGTTCCACTTGCTGTGTTATTCAAGAGCTGTTGTGCCCTTAGATAACAGCAGATCTCACACACAACCTCTGTCTGCTCATATTTTGTGCAAGTGATACTTGTTGCAAACAATTGACTGGTTAGACTACAATACTAGCAATATGTAAGATTTTATCTCCTTAATATTACACTTAATTTTGCATTACATTATTTCAGGGTTTTTTTTTTTTTTCCACAACATCTACTCACCACTGTATTTTTTTCATGTTTCTCAGGACTGTGACCAGATCCACATAGATGATGTGTCATCAGATGATAATGGTCAAGATCTAAGGTATGGGATCTCCCAGGCTGGAAGCTGCAGGTCAGGCAGTCCCAGCCATGTGGAAAAGCAAAGGCTGGTCAGTGATTCTCAGACATGCATTCTGTCCCTCCTGGCTCCGTGCTGTCTCCATTTATCAGGCACACACAAATACAGAGCTCTCTTTCTCACATTATTGTGCCTGTGCCTTCTGTCAGGCCCTGACTGTGCTGAGCTTTGAACCATTCTGGGAGATATATCTAAATCTGGTTGAGCTCCAGTCAGACCACACGGGTTTCTGATATGATTTGGCCAGACATTTATCACAGCTGTCGCCAAAATGCTTCAGAACCAGACTGAGAGGTTTCCCACGGTCCAGTCCATAGTGAAGGCTTAGTAGTGAGGAGTTGGACCTTGCTATGCCAGGTCCTTGCAGATATTTGTGCCAAAACTGCACCAAACATTTCTGTTACCTATGTAAGGTAGGTTTTCATGTTCACAGAACGTTCTGTACAATTCCATCTGCTTTTCCCAAAGCATTGCCTGCACAGTCATGGTAAAGGGACAGGAATGAAATGTGCAGAACTCATATAGAGCTTTGCAATTTGTGGTTTTATGGGTGATTATTGTGAGAAATTGGTGCAGGAACAGAACATTTTTTTAGATCTGTGCTGGTAATTGTGCTAAAGATGAACTTCAGCTCAGCACAGCGTGTCCYGTGTGTGCCTCTGCTGCCGCTTTTCTCCACATTTCATTTGAGCTGTTTCCCCTCCCTGCTGGCCCTGTGCAGGCTGTCATTACACTGAGCTCTCCCCTTCCCTCCTGCCTTTCCCAGCACGTATAACTTCTCTGCGGATGGCTTCCACAGTTCCAGCGCCAGCKCCAGCCTCTGCCTGGGCTCGGGGGTTCACGGCGGAGTGGACTGGATGAGGAAATTGGCGTTCCGCTACCGCCGCGTCAAAGAGATGTACAACACCTACAAAAACAATGTGGGCGGTGAGTGCCAGCGGCCAGGCAGCCAGCAGGCCTTCCATTCCATCTTCCCAAAAATTGGAGCGTCTCCAGGGACATCTCTGGAGGAGCTGTGGGGATCCTCGTGATACGGGTGCTGCACARGGAGTGCCTCCCCAGTCACCCTTAAATGTGGATCTCTACAGGATTCACRGGAGAACACTGAAATACCTGCTTTAGTGGTTTGGGAAAGACTCRAGTCCAAGTGTGGGGCTTTGTTTTGTAATTCATTTGGCAGGAAAGCAACCTGGTCCTATTTTCCAGAATGTTTAGCAGGAAGGCAAACAGTTCAAAACTAAATACACTCTTCTTTTTAAAACACAACACTAAGGCTTTCTTGTGTTACAACTACTCGTTTTTAACTCCCCCAAAACCATACCACCAGATATCATGATTCCCTGGGTTCYACCATCTCCCCAGTGGGCAAAGGGAAGCAGTGGCACCAGGGCCAAGAGAGGGGCAGTGACAGAGGTCAGACCACAGACAGGTGCCCTTTGGCATTGTGCATAAAAATCCACGCAATTCCCTTTCTGTGCTTCTGCAAAGACATTTTCCCTGCTTGCAGGTTTAATAGGAGCTCCTAAGAGGGAAACCTGGCTGCAGCTGAGAGCGGAACTGGAAGCGCTGACTGATCTCTGGCTCACACACGCTCTGAAGGCGCTGAATTTGATACATTCCCGGTAAGAGCAGCTCAAAGAATTGCCTGTGGGCTTCATCCAGGAGCTCCTAAGCTTCCCTTGTTTTCCTCCTCTAAACAAATTGAGACACATTTGCAGGACTTTGCTGGCCAAGCCTGTGGGAGGCCAGTCTGCAAATACTGGCCAGGCTGAATTATCAAGGGTTGGGGGGAGCTTGGGATGATGAGCTGAGCAAAAGCAGAACAATCCTTGTCCTTGTCCTTGCCTTTCCTTGGCCTCCTCATCCATGGCACCATTTTCATGTGAGAGGTGAGGAGAGGGAGGAAGAAGCCCTTCTGTCCCTGAGCACGTTCACTCACAGAGCCCAGCATGGAAATTAATGCMCTGTGTTTAAATTCCCACCAAACAGATCCTGGCAAGCTTGCAGTAAAGCTGCATCACTGCTGCTAGTTTGTTTTATGTTTTTTTCATTCTACTGAGCTGATCAAAAGACATTTCTGGTACTCACATTATCTTCCTCTGGCTGTAGMATTCCCCATTGGCTTGGGAACTTCCAGTGGCAGGAAAGGTTTGCTTCCCAGCATCTTTCAGTCCAGGGTGAAAGAGGGAAACACAGATTTTCTCTTCTAATGAATTCTGTTTTCTAGGCCCAACTGTGTGAATGTGTTGGTCACCACAACTCAGCTGATACCAGCCCTGGCTAAAGTGCTTCTCTAYGGACTGGGCACTGTCTTCCCCATTGAAAACATTTACAGTGCAACAAAAACAGGTAARAGCAATCTGACTGAGGCCTCACCTAAGACAGGCTGGAGTTTTGCCCCTGGGTCAGGCACAGCCATCCCATCTAATGGTAACAAGCAAGGACTGAGCTTTGTTTTTAGCTCCATGCTTTCAGATGTCTGATTCACATCCTGACTGCCACACTTCACCTGGTACAGACTGCAGGGAGAAAGAATCTAAAAAACATTTCTCAAGTGTCTCCWTGGGGKAGTGAGGCAGATGTACAGATACATMCCCATCCTGTGGGGCACTGACTGCACGTGGGATGTCCAGCTGCACCCAGCTGAAGGGAGATGTGCTTGGACCTGTTACAGAAACTTTTTGGATCCTCTTTGCAGAGGGTCAAGGGTGCTAAATGAGCTTGATGAAGCTTTGTGAGTAATAAGTACTGATAGGGTTGGTTTTTCTGTGTTCTGTTCTTTCTGGTGTTTGTGTCTGAACTCCTGAGGACTGAATTTTCATGTTTTTACTGCAACCAGAATGAACAGAAGAGGGCTCTGGAAACTGAATGCCAYGAGGGTCACATCAGTCTGCCAGCTGCTGGTCTGAGCAGGGCATCAGTCACAAAGCTCAGAAAACTGGCCACATTTGGAAGTCCTTGGCTGATAAAGCCAGTGCTATCATGGGATTGAGAGGATGCACCTCAAATGAAAATCCAGTTAGGTTCCAGTTTCAAAAGAAAACAAAGAATGTAGCAGCCAGTTCAGTTAGGTTCTAACTCCAGGCCCTGTACCTGAATATTTGCTCTGCCTGTGGTGTGTGTCCACATAAAAAAATCTGTATCTTCTCTTGTGTTGCTTAGGGAAAGAGAGCTGTTTTGAAAGAATAATGCAGAGGTTTGGAAGGAAAGCCGTRTACATTGTAATAGGAGATGGTGTTGAAGAGGAACAGGGAGCAAAAAAGGTACAGTTTGTGGATTTTATGTTGGATTCTTCCAAGTTTTCATTGCAATGACCCTTTATTTATGCATTTAATGAAGCWCCCTCYATTTGAAGCAGTTTAAAATTKATCTCATTYSTTAATATGCAAAATATTCAACWATCAYCTTATCAGAAATTCCATATCCTAAGCCCCCCCCATTTTGGCCGCTGGTAAATATATTTCAGGTAGTTGCTGTGTCTCATGTTCCAGGAATCGTTCTTGCTTAACAAAGATGACTTTTAACACATGAAAAGGGGAGCTGGCTTTACAGGGGCAGGAATACAATTCGATAATGGCAGACATTGTTTGCAAAATGCCTTTGTGCATCCTGGGTCTTGTGCTCCTGATGTGRCTGCAGAAATGTGATAGAGCTGCATTTGCTCCAGGAGCATTGCACGTGAGTTGAGATGATGGAACTGGCTGAATGATCTCCATCTTCAGCCAACTTGTTAATTTTTAATAGATACAGAAATTACTGGTGTAGCTCAGGTGATGTACAAAGTATTATATCACAGTTGCTCAGCTAGAGCAAGCACCTGGTATCTCATTCTGATTGAAGAACCTGCAAAGACTTTCCAAGCAAATTTGAGCCCTTTGGTTGCACAAGCCCAGGAACGAAGGGATCCCAGCAAATAAAGGTGGGGGTACATGTTCTGTCCCCAGAATTGTATCTCAGGTTATCTTCAAAGCAGCAGAAAACCTGTTTCTTCATAGATTATTTCCCTTGGCCAGTGGAAGCAACAATATCTGCACCCACCCTGGAAAACTGCCAAACCTGCAGATGGTTGTGTGGCTCATGGAGGGTTAAGGAGCTGTCAGGGAAGAGTCCAGAATACGAGACTGGGGCTGAAGTGACAATAACCTGCTGCTTGTGGCAGCTCAGTGCCACACTTCAAAGGCAGTGGGTCAGTGAACAGGAGGCATCAAAGGCTGCCTGGGGAGGTGGGAAGGTTCTGCAGTCTCCTCTGCCGGGGTTTCAGGAGCCTCCTGCTCCTGTCTCCTGGCCTAAGCAGCTCAGCCATTAGCAGAGCACATTCTTTGCTGGGCTGTCGCCTCCTTTGATTGATGACAATCATTAATCAAAGCTTCTACACACCTGAGCTTTATACAGAAAAAAAAAAAACAAAAAAGGGAGGGGACAGGCAGAGAGCCTTTCGCTGTTTTGCTGACAGTGCTGATAACATCTCCAGTTTCGTGGGTCATTTTTCTTCACCTGTCTGATGAGCGATAAATCCGTAACTGCTGAACAACAGGAGTGGCTGGGAGGCCAAGTTTTCTTCTGGTTTAGGAAAGAAAAAACAGATCATTTAATGCAAGGGGCTTAATAGCAGCTGGGGGAGGGAGAAGGAAGTAACTTTTCCCCTTAAAGTGAAATTGCAGAGCAGTGGATTGCAATCAGTTCAGCTGTCTGATTTTGCTTGCTGTCTTTACACAAACTCATAAACAGCTGGAAGGAAACATTTGTTTACTGGTAGACAACATAGCAGAGGGAAGCTTGGGTTGTGTTTAAAGGTTAGAGGAGTGTAAATAAATACTCTGCAACATGAACTGGAGTTTTTTTTTGTAGACAGATAGGTACAATTGGAAAAGGAACTTCTCCCTTCATCAGAATCTCTTTAGGAAATGTATGTTCTCTGAAGCTTTTTGGAGCTGTTTAAGAAGAAGCAGTGTGGTTACAGGTGAATTCCTGCAGTGATAAAAGACTCTTAGAAAATGTTAYGCCCATGCTGGAAGGGACTAAGTGCTGTCAGTGTAGGCTTTCTGTACATTTATTACTGCATGTAATCTACTGACTGTGTAGACTGGCATTTTGGGAGAAGGCAAAGAAAGTCACAGTCCTAAATGTTATAAAGTCATATGCAGAAGGGACCTGTGTATTTGATCTAAATTAGAATTGCTCTATCAGTTCTGGAGAAGAAACAAATCCAGTGCAAACCCCAGGCTCACCAGAACATACCAACAAAAGCTGTATTTAACATCTAAGASCACGTTCTAATTATTCTGAGGTTCTCTCTGTGCAGCCATGGGGATCACAGCTCTTGCTAAGGAACTGTGCTGTTCCAGGGGTGCATTCAGGGCACTCTGATCACAGGTAACATTCCAAGTCCCCGATGAAATTGAACTGCACTTATTTCACAGCAATTAAAAAGTTGATACTTTGTCCTCTTTCAGATGCAAGTCTTGTTTTTCTACAGTATATTCCCAACTTTTAGGAGAATAGTCAAGGTATTTTAAAGAAGGTATAGTAGGTCACAGGTAGCTGACCTTCCAGATGTTGTCCAGATGCTCAGATTTCAAGTGGAACTGGCTGGTCAAAACTTGGACATGTCTGTACATGGCTTCAGATTTATCACAACTAATACAAATTCAAAAACAAGGAGGCAGAAGAATAATACAAGATAATCTCTCAGAAATGAAAGTTAGGACAGTTTTTTGGGGACGGCTGTTTTATAACCATATTGTATCTTCCCCTGAGGTCACAGTGTTACATTAAATGAATAATTGATCTGAGCAATGATACYAGTTCTTACATTTAGAGAAAATGCAGTATGATCTGTTGTTCCAGTTAATTGTGAAAATGTTAGAAAGCATTTTGATTATGTGKCATTTTACCCCTTTGTTTACATTTTTATGAATTTTAATAACTTCCTTTTACAATAGATAGATATCATTGACCAGTCTGTGAATGACTGATAAGAGCTTTCACGGCTGATATTTGCCTAAAACTGTTTCTGGTAATTCTGCAGTTCTAGAAACATTCCTGATTAATTCACAGGGGGAAAAGTAGGCCCAAACTTTGGTATTATTTTAGCCCACACCCTCYACCACCTGTGAAGCAGAATACTCCTCAATTGTGGAGGATATATTTTCCTGTCTACAGAGGAGAGAGAGGTCAGCAAAGAGACACTTCCCTCCTCATCTCTTCCTCCCTCCTCCCCTAAGATGAGCCTCCTTGCCTGTGGCACTGTGACAGCCTGCTGGCCAAGTACAAATCTCTGTTCTTGAGGGTACAAGCTAAGAAAGTTGTTTTGATCTCAGTATTATATAAAAACAGAAAAAAAAAATTCCCCTCTTTTGGTTTCACTCTAGCACAACATGCCCTTCTGGAGAATCTCTTGTCACGCTGACCTGGAAGCTCTTCGGCACGCCTTGGAACTTGAATATTTGTAGCAGACCCCAACATCTTAGCACTGGGAGGGCTTCACTCAGACTGTTCCATCGGTTCCACCTATTCCTCAGCATTTTCTTAGTAAAAAAAATCCCACAGCAACTGCAGTTTTTCTTTTTTTTGAAGGAGAACCCTTTCAGTGGAAGCCTTTAAGAACTTGCAGCCAAAGAACATTGTCTCAAGTCCTCCTTACTTTGGACAGAGGAAAATCCTCCTGATCAGCTGCTGGGATGCTGCAGTTGCAGGCTAAGCTGGAGGCAGAGCTCTAATGGCCATTTTGCCATCAACAAGGCAACTGCTACAAGTCTGGGTCTCCCTGTCAGCGTTCTTGGTTTTGAAAGGGCAAGAGGACACAGCAAGGAGTCTGCACAATCCATCACATCACACAGGACCTTCTGAMAATAAGAGTGAAAMYKKTKRWTTTTTTTWAAWYTTTTTTTAATTTTTTTTTAATTTATGAACTAATCTCATTACTCTGGTATTAAGCTCTGTACCTGTGTTTTTAATCTGGCTTTTGGGGATGGGTGGGTAGGGAAAGTCTTACTGTTCTAAATTAACAGTTCATTTCTCCAGAAGAAACTCTGGGGACAATCATATTGTGTACATGAGTAGTAAGGACACATGGTACTGTTGGTAAGAACTGCAGCTGTGTGTTGGAACCTTACCAAGATGGTACATGGACTGTGCATGTGTCTACACGGTGCCTTATGCTGCCATCTTGGGGCTGAGGATGGGGGAAAAGTACCTTGTGATGAGTGAAAGGCATTAAATAAAAACATGTTTACATTTTGGGGGATTGGATTACCTGCCTTCTCTTCCGCCACTCTTGGATCTGGAGGTGGATGTGGAATATGTGCTCCTCGTTTTAAGGTTGGCCTGGTAATCTTGTTAAAATATTTAAATTCTCTGAGCATGGATGTATCTCTACTTGGAAAAGGGCTGATGGTTCCTTGCTGTGGCACCAGGTAAGTGCTACAGCCCTCRCCTCTCAAAGGGTTACACAAACTGAGGAGTACTCTTCACCTCTCAAAACAWTTAGAGAAAACAGTGCTAGATCTGAGAGGGGATTTTCTACCAAGATAAAGCAGAAAATCTGATTATCTGAAWTTAATCCAAGGCAGCAGGCCCAGAGTGGCTGTGACACATCAGCATGACCAAACCCAGCCTTTCAGCACACRCTGTGGGGGCATTTACAAAGAGCTGCTCTCTGGGCTTAGCAMAGCTCCATCCAAAATGACACATCTTGCTGTTCTCAGGGCTTGCTAAGCAGAATTTTTTCCTCAAGGGTTCCTTCTGTAAGAATGATGTCCTTCACTTGTGATATAACTTCYATTTGTGACAAAGTCAGTTGAGAACTGACCAATGCTTACAAGATACTTTGGAAAGAGGAATAAMTGCCAGGGATTGCAGACTCCTAGAGAAACACAACTCCAACTTTGATCTTCCTTGAGATTCCAGATTTAACACCTGACTTAACTGAGTCAATGATCTGAGCACTGATTCTGGTTTTTTTTCATATGGGTTCATGGAGGATTTTGCTTTGTGAATGTATTTAAAGATTTGGAAGCCCTTGTTTTTGTTGCTGATGTTCTTAGCAGAGGTGGGGGTGGGACACACAGGGTCAGGAACGCGTGTCTGTGACACAGGTGTCACCCCCTCCTTCCAGTCCCCATGGCACATTCATCTCTCAGTGCAGCAGGGTGTCAGGATTTACTGTTCCAGGGAATTTATCATGGATACAAGGGGGGATCCACAGCASTTTTGTACTTGGGAACATACAAAAGACCCAGGGACCAGACACACCTACAGACCCTGCTCAGCTCCTYTGCCTGTGGCTTTATATATTTCTATATTTTCTACATACTTTATTAGGATTTGGTCACCTGTTAATAACTCTTCTGTAGAAAAAAAACAATGCTCATTATTAGGAAAAAAGCCCCACAGGCTGGAACAGGTGYCAGAAAGCAGTGGGGTTTCCTACAACAATTTATACCTTTTGTACCCCTCTTCCCTTTTTTTCTAACACAAGGCCTCATTTCAACATCTAAACTCCACAGGGAAAGCCAAAACATCATTTCAAGCTTTCAAGATTTGTGCTATTCCGTAAACAGCAGCACTGGGAACATTAACKATGGTTGCTTTACAAATGCACAGAACAAGGTAATTGCAGGAGCAGGAACTTCATATAATACTCAGTTTTACAGTGGGATATTTCATAAGCTCCCAGTTTCCTCAAATATTTAAGACACACACGCACAAGTCTTGCCCAATTCATCCCCTTTTGGGGTGCTCAAACTGCACTCACCATGAGAGTCCCCATTTCTGACCCACAAATAACACCTGACACTGATGTGTATCAATCCAACCCCAATCCAACCARTGAATTAATGTTAAACATCAAACTGGACAGGCTTGGACCCAAAGGTCCCACACCTCTGAGACAGAAGATGCCAGTATAAGTGAAGTTACCTGTGCTCTGGAGCCTGTGCAGAAACGAACATTCCTCCAGACTGAACCAAAACTGGAAATCCAGGAACACAGAACATTTTTCTAAAACAGTTTAATAAAAAAATTGAGACGTTTCTTGAAAAATTGGAGAAACCCAAAGCATACCGTGTGTYACCTGTCTTAGTCACAAAGAAACACAATTGTCAAAAAAGATATTTAAGTTTAATACAAATTTTATACAAAGAAAATGTGAAAAAATACTTCCATATGCTAAAAGCAATTATGCTTCACAAATAAGGCCAGCTAGGCTAGTTTTGACACAACTGCAATTAATGAATATTCTCGCTTTTTTTTTTCTTCTAATACTTTTTTCCCTCTAATCTGGGTACTAGCTGGAGACTGTACAAACCGCATTCTTATATAAACAATGGGAGAAATCAACATGACTAAAATGTACAACAGAATGTACTGGAATGATATCATACAATTAATTTTCTCATATACATACATCACCTTTGCTTTGTTCAATGCTTTCGTTTTACACAACATACAAAATGGGACTACAGTCTCAGTGTAACAGACAGCATCTTCAGGGGGTACTTCCTCTCATACTGCACTGCTTCATGCTTACATAAAAACAGAAATTCCATCATATAAATAATACATGCTCTGGCCTAGCATCAAAAGTCTTTTGCCCATGTCTCCCAATCCTTGTTTTTCTCCACACCTAGTTCCTGTTCAAAGTCCTTTGGGAGGATTTTTAGAAAACAAGAAAACAGTGAAGCATAGGAACAAACTTTACTTTTCTCAATCTTTGATAYCAGTAATCGGAAATCCTGCTACACGCACCTGCTATTACACTTTCCAGATTTTCTGATCTTAGACTGAATGAAATTTTAAATTAATTTTAACCTGTAAATGACATTAATATTTTTCAGCCTGGTCATTGTGAAAAACAGTGTAAATYTTATGGATTCCAGGTCCACATAATTTGCCTAATAGTTAACTGAAAAGAGATATCCTTCATCACTTGGTTGTTCAGAGAAATTCCACAAGGGTTTCAAAGTGCAGAAATTTTTTCAATCCAAATGCAAAGCATTGTTGAGATTCTCAGATTATTTSACGCAGTTTCCCAAGACCAGTTTTCAGCATTAGGTTGTGGTAAGGGTGTTTTAAACCTTCCTTTTCCAACTTCAAACGCTCTTTATAAGTTAAAGTCAATACAAATATAAAAAGGAGATGGTACTCTAATGACATCCACAAATTGTACATTATTTACAAAAGAAGCATAGATTTAATATGGATCTTACCTGTCCTCAGCTTTTCTAAGCCAGCACTAATGCTTTACATTAATGTAGTGTAATTAATGCTTTGTACACATACACAAAGCTAAAGTCTGAACCTCTGAGGTTAATCCAAAGAACTGTGTTTATTTGTCACATTTCTATTAGATTTATTTATTCCAACAATTGTATGAACTTCTTGTTAGCAGTTAGACTCTTCGTACTTGGACTGGCATTGTGGTCTGAACATACTGAACTCCAGTTCTCATTGCCACTGTCCCAGCAGAAGGACTTACCACTACAGGAATGGTCTGTGGATTAAAACCAAGAGAAACAGATTGTTATGTTAAAGGTCACATAAACATGACCACAGAAATAGAGATTAATTTTCCAGGGGAAATCCAGAACAAGTTCCAATTTTGTGCAAGAACTAATACCTTTATTACCGCAGCATTACCTCATTCCAGGGGAGAGAGGAGTGCATTACTTCCCTACAGCCAAGAGTTTCTGTGTTCTCATCACTGCTATAGAATTACATGGACAGGAGGTGCTATAGGGGCTGCACACACTRCCTGTGCTTGCAGAGTGAGGGTTTCAGAGTTACATCCAGTTATGTATTTTCTGCAAACTAATACATGGGAAGAGGAAAAAGGGCTAAGAAAATCCTTTGTCATTTGAAAAAGTTTTGACAAATCAAACTGGAGTACAAAAATACCCTTGTTTGTAAGTATATTCTTGTTACATGTTACTTAAATCTTTTTCCCCAAAAGGAACTTTCCCCCATGCATTCTGTCTACATAGAAGAGAACAAAGAACATCCATTTGAACAAAAAGTACTTAAGTTAACTTCTGCACAAATCAATAGCAAAAACATCAGCATTACTGGGAACTGTCTTACACACCCTGTAAAAATAGTAATATAGAATAAACTTTTCACTTCCATCATACAGACCATGATTTATACATCTCAACAAATGGGAGTTTCAGGACATGTCTATAGGTGGTAATTGATTCTACRGATGCAGAGACAAAGGCACAAGAATGTTAAACAATCTGGTCAAGGTCACATCACTCTGGAGATCTGTAAGAGGATTTATTGAACCTAAAGTCTGTATCTTAACCTTCCTCTAAAAACATGAAAAAGTCTAGAAATGTCTCTACCGCACAAACTGCAAAGTGTGTTCCGACACAATTCCAGTGATGCGCAACTAGTGATCAGACAAATGCATTCATTTCAGTTCAGAACATCTTGTGGAAGRAACAGGGAGTGAGAATTTGAGGAACCTGAAAGGGATGCACAGATCCTCCCCCAGTGGTAGTGTGACATTCCAGAGAGAACATGGAAGAACAATGACAAGTTCACTGAAGCCCAGTGCTTCCCCACACTGATTCCAGAAACCACATGAGTGTCTTAATGATATTCCACAAAGATTGTGAGTGTCCCTGCTGAGATGGATTACAGCTCCTTTGTGACTGAGCCTGTGCCTTCCAGAAGCCTACTCATTCCATTCCCTGGAATGCAAAGATGATGGGTTCATATTTTTACATTATTTAAACAGGAAGAAGAATAAAAAACAAACATGGGACCAATCTGCTAAATAAATTCAAGATTACTGCCCTTTTGTAATGATTTCAGATGTGTTTACAAGKTTCAATGGAAATGGTACCCAGAAGAT